CCCCTTCTTGTTCCTTCGTGCCTTGTGGCACCTCATCTCACCTCTGCTTTACTCGTTAGTTTTCTTAATTTTCCTATGGTATTCGGTGTTGACCGCAAACCCATGGAACTTTGCATATGTCTGGTAGAATTCCTTTGCTTCTGCAAACGATTTAAATCTCTGCCCAACGTATGGTGGCTGAGGTACCACGATCTCTGATTGCCCATCATCTTCATCCCCTTGTGCTTCGTCATCAATTTCATCATTCACTTTAGTATCGGCGGTATTTTCATCTACTTGAGTGTTGCCAGTGCTTGTGTTCAAAGGGGTGCCTGTCGGCATTGCTGGAATGATTGCCATTTCCGACTCTGATTCGGCATTGTTTGCGGCATGATTGTCTGCTGCTGGTGGAATGCGTCTTCCGTGCACTCAGAGCTCCCCGCAGTAGATGTCCCCGCGCCGCTGTTCACTGTAGTTGTAGGCCCTGTAATAGAAAAAACAGGTACGAGAGTAAGATTTTGCTTGAATAACATGTTTATTGCAACGGATCACATCAACTTCGAGTGATTTGGCATGACATCATTCAAACAGTAAGCCGTGAGTCTGCGTGTGGATATGCATGGCAACTGTAGTTGTCCAGTCATGGCAGCTACAGTCCAACAAACATGGCAACTATTGTTTGCCAATGCACGACAACCAGCTCCTTTTTAGTACGAAAACTTGGATTCTATATACATGGCAGCTGCAGTCCTGCATACATGGCAAATACTGCTACCAATACATGGCAACCACTGTGTTCTAGCATCAAAACTTTTGCATTCTAGGCTTGATCTCACTAGGCAAATGCGATCAACCATTAGTGCTGCACACATGCTTTTAGCAGTTGGCAAATTTCTGAAGACAATATATGACTCATTGCACACAACCACTTGTTTAGCATTTTATGCTTGATTTTGTCCACCATCACTGCTACAAATCTTCTCTTTCGTCACGTGCTATTTTTTGCCACAAAAACAAATGTAGTGCTCTTTTGTGGTTCAATTTTTTCCTTACCTTGTTGTGCTGCATGTGCCCATCTTGTGTGGTCTGTCACACTAAATTGACGTGCTCTATCTGCAATTTGTGAAGCTTGCCACGAGACGTTTGCTGGGGTACCACCACCATAATAACCTGCAAGCATCGTAGTAGTTGGTCAATACATGGCAACTGCAGTTTGTGCTGGCATGGCAACTGCAGTTGTCCTGGCATGGCAACTGCAGTTGTTCCTCCATGGCAACTGCAGTTGTCCAGGGAGGGCAACAACAGTTGTCCGGGGATGACAACTGCAGTTATTTATTCATGGCAATTGCAGTTGTCCAGTCATGGCAACTGCAGTTGTCAACTATGCTCCTTCTGCTAATTCACCGTCCGCAACTTCACTTTTTTATGGACTCACCTGCGTATGACGTTGACGGTAGGTACATGGGTGCTGCCTGATGCCACGTGCTGCATGAAGGCTCTGCATTTTCCCCCATCATAACTGTGAGTCTTTTGCCAACCTTTGCAAGTTTATTTTTCATGTCCAGACCAGTATGTGTTCTTTTTTGTATGCGTTACCTTGATTAGCCATATTAGCTAGTTGAAGTTGGCTGCCCGTACATTTGTCAGTGTTAGCGCCCTATGACTGAACTTGCCACGGAGGCCCCCTGAGTGTGTTTTGGTCATAAGAACCTTCAAAAAATGACAGTGTGTGACATAAGTAGAATGTCATCTTCATTGTTGCGAACATGGCAACTGTTCTTTTTTTGTTATCACGCATCATACCAATGCCTGCATACTGTTCTAGTAGTGGCAGCAACGGCCCTGCAGAATAAGTTGACTGTACTCTGATGCATCCCAAGGGGGCGTTTCTGGCCTTTGAGAACCCCAAGTATCAGCGCCATCTTCGTGATTCATTCTTTCCGCGACTCGTTTCTTCCAACGTGTTCTCAATCACTGTATGAACAAGAACGCATCAACAATCCACAAAAAATGTATTCTTCTGCTGCTTGCACGTAGAAGATAACACGTCAGTGTTATCACATTTTCATGCGTAGGCAACCAACACATCGCGGCAAGTAGGACATGCACATCCATACTCTTTTTCTAAAATTTGGGTGCTAGCTATCCATTCGATTCGATGGCAACAACCACTACAATAGGATGGCAAGCAACAGGTTAACAGGGTGGCAGTCACTGACAACGAAAGGTGGCAACTGACGTTAGACACAAGTGGCAATTAATTTTTTCCACCCCCTTTATTCCAAATTTGTCATTCCTCTCCTTTTTTCGGGATTCCTACTCATCCATTTCATTACCAACTACTTGCGTCAAGCGAACTAGGAACTTAAGGTAATCTCAAGCGTAGTACATGGCAGATCTGGTGTATTCTGCTTGGCAAATGCGAAGATACACAGAACCATGTAGTGTTTTACCCCTATAGCGTGTATCCAGTCGCCACCTTCATCTGCAAATTTGCAATTTTTTGCCCATAAGAAGGATGAGAAGCAGTATGAGATCAGAAGATTTCACCTGCTTTTAGCTGATCATCTTGGGAG